CCACTGCAGAGAGCGAGGGGGGCCCAGCGGCGACAACGCGCGCCGCAAACATCCTTCTCGCAGCATTTACAATGCGACTCCGAACCGGCAAGAACCAATACTATGGAAATCACAATGGCAGTAGTGCACAGACACAGTGTGCGCACATCCTGGCCGCAGCCATGACAATGCGATTCGCAGCCTGTCACAACCATTGCTTTGCAAATCACAATGGCAGTAACGCACAGAGCCGCAGGGGGCCCAGCGGCGACAACGCGCGCCGCAGCCCCTTCTGGAGGCTCTGGGTACTGCGCCTGCCACTGCAGAGAGCGAGGGGGGCCCAGCGGCGACAACGTGCGCCGCAGCCCCTTCTGGAGGCTCTGGGTACTGCGCCTGCCACTGCAGAGAGCGAGGGGGGCCCAGCGGCGACAACGCGCGCCGCAGCCCCTTTCTGGAGGCTCTGGGTACTGCGCCTGCCACTGCAGAGAGCGAGGGGGGCCCAGCGGCGACAACGCGCGCCGCAGCCCCTTCTGGAGGCTCTGGGTACTGCGCCTGCCACTGCAGAGAGAGAGGGGGGCCCAGCGGCGACAACGCGCGCCGCAGCCCCTTCTGCAGTCTCTGGATGACAGGCTCTGGGAGTGTGAGTGAGTGAGTGAGTGAGTGAGTGAGTGGAGTGAGTGAGTGGAGTGAGTGAGTGGAGTGAGTGAGTGAGTGGAGTGAGTGAGTGAGTGAGTGAGTGGAATGAGTGGAGTGAGTGGAGTGAGTGAGTGAGTGAGTGAGTGAGTGGAATGAGTGGAGTGAGTGGAATGAGTGGAGTGAGTGGAGTGAGTGAGTGAGTGAGTGAGTGGACGGAGGAGGGGGCGAGGAGGACGGAAGGAAGGACCGGCGGATGCGGGCGGGATGCCAGCCAAAAAACTAGAACCCCACACAGAGATGTGGGGAACAAAAGAAGGACACGGGTTTTGCGACCGTGGCATGAGGACAGCGGGGAACACCAGGAGGACCCACAGGGTTCGAAAACATGGCCACTAGAAGCAGGAGGAAGACACAGGGTTTGCCAGCACGGCCAAAGGACGAGGAGGAGAAGAGGAGGAGGCGAGGAGGACAAGAAAAGGACAAAAGGAGGACGCAGGGCTGGCCAGTGCAGCCAGACGACAAGAACAGGACAAAAGGAGAGGAGGACAGGAGGACGACAAGAAGAGGAGGACAAGAAAAGGACAAGAGGAGGACAAGAGCAAGACAAGAGGAGGACAAGAGGACAAGAGGAGGACAAGAGAAGGACAAGAGGAGGACAAGAGAAGGACAAGAGGAGGAGAAGAGAAGGACAAAAGGCAGCCAGAGGACAACAACAGGACTAGAGAAGGACAAAGGACGAGGAGAGGAGGACAAGAGGAGGACAACAAAGAGGAGGACAAGAGGACCAGCGCGGCCAGGGCAAAGTTAAGGGGCGCGGCCAGCCGGCCAGCCCTTTTTTTTTTCCGAAGACACAGAGCCCAGGTAAAGAGTTCACGTGCGCGGCCAAAGTACAAGAGGAGGACCAGGCCTGCACAGAGCCCAGCCACAGAGTTCAGGGGCGCGGCCAAAAGGATGACAAGAGGAGACACAGAGCCCAGCCACAGAGTTCAGGGCCGCGGGCAAGAGGAGGACAAAAGGAGGACAAGGCCTGGACACAGCCACAGAGCCCAGGCACAGAGGACAAGAGACCAGCCACAGGGGCGCGGCCAAGAGGAGGACAAGAGGAGGACACACACACAGAGCCGGGCCACAGAGCCCAGCCAGAGGACAAGAGGAGGACGAGGCCACAGAGCCCAGCCACAGAGTTCAGGGGCGCGGCCAAGAGGAGGACAAGGCCTGGACACAGAGCCCAGCCACAGAGTTCAGGGGCGCGGCCAGTGAGTGTGGCCAGCTCCTTTTTTTCTAAGATAGAACCCCAACAGTAAACTGTTTGGGGAACTAAATATGTTCTTTCTTCATGCAGCGGGACAGGTCGTGGCCTGTCTTAGTCCGTGAAGGTGGCAGCTTGCGGCTCAACGAGTCGTCTCCGAGTCGTCTTTGCATGGACACCGATCTCGGTGGGGAGGCTTTGCGTTTCTCATGTCTCAGCTTCGTGAGAACCACGCCTAAACACTAGTGGGGAGTGAGAATTCCATGGAGTCTGTCGGAGAATTCCACTCCGGATCCGGTGCTCAAACAGGTGTCCAAGGCGTTGAATCGAAGTCGGTGCGAAACGGTGTAACTGTATATATTGGGTCTATCCGAGTCTACCTGGGCCTCAGTGGATGATGATGGTTCAGTTGCAGGCCTTGTTCAAGCAGAATGATGATTTGCTTGTTTACGGGTCCTGTTACAGGTAAGAACGGACAAACACTAGGTGTATATATACAGTACCCTCCCTGGAACTAACATGGAAGTGGAAAAGCCCCTGGAAATGCCTCTTTGTAGGGCAGCATCGTCTTCCAGGGGTCACACCATCCCGTCCCATGATTGTTGGAGGGAGTGAATACATTTATGAGCACTAGGTTCGTGTTGAGGGTCATAGCGGTAGAGAATTGTATCTAGTTTCATGTTTGATGCCCATCAAACATGCTTGATGGGTTGTACCTGTGTGTGTTCCTGGAAACCAAGTACGACTCTAAGGGTCGCAGGACCGCCTCCGCCATCTGTTGAACTGTGCTCGACCACGTCTGAGCTTTGAGCTGAGATGGGCTGCAGGTCGGCGTGGTGGCACATTAGCATTTGGTACTTTAGCTTCTTGTTCCTAGCGATGGCCTCCACCCTAGTAGCTTCTTGCTCTAATATCCTTAAGGCTCTTCAGCGTGAGATCCAGCATGCGAACATGGATTCAAATCAGGCTGCCACCAAATCTCTTTACAGCCATCAAGGGTGTACCTGGAATCAAGGCCAGTCACACAGTCTAATATCAACAAGCAATGCTCAAACATGAACAGCACCAGTCAAGTCATTCAATGACTGTATTCCGCTATATAGTATAAACTCTCTATATGAATATATCTATCTGTATATCTATCCAAATATACGCATACTTGTGTTGCGTGTACATATATAATACAATAAAATACAGAACATAGAAGAGCGGATAACTTGATAACTGTGAGACCCTCCAAGTTCTGTACTTTTTTTTTTGTCACAAGCGATGGCTGCAACCACCTCGACCCCTCGTGACGTAGAGAACATGACCACCCTCGAGTACTGCTTGTTCGGCTTTCCAAAAAGCCTCTGAGACGTGCCAGATCGGCTGTCTGTCTTATGCTTTCCTGCACAAGTTCTGCGCCACTAAATGCAACACTCCATACAGTAATTGGTGAAAGCATACTCCTGCGGAGGAGTCCCTCTTATATCAGTTTTCGTTCAGTGGGGTCCGCGTCCTTTAAATTACAACGGACGGTGTCGCATGAATTTCCCACGGTGCCCTGGTTCGATTCGGCTCAAATGCAGCGGGGCGCTGTCGCACAACGGAGGGTCATTGGCCACATGCGTGTAGGTGTGGGTGTTTGATATATTTCGATTCTGATTGATTCTGCTTCTTCTGTGATGTTATATGATTGGTGGTCTATCTGTTGTTAATAATCTTAGTATAGGTTTTTGACCGCTGCTCATATGCGTTTGGTTGTGAACATGTTGCAGCTTGATGTCTTGGACGGTTTTCCAAACCGGTCGACCGGTCAAAGGGCCTCTTCGGAAGGGAATTCGGGGAGAGGTCTCCAACCTCTTTCCATGCACCAACCACAAACCGACCCAAACCGCTCCATGCGAAACTCGCACTTCCACGGTTTGCTTTGCTTGAATCGGGTTCTTAAGGGTATACTTCCGTTCCTCCATGTCTGCCCAAGACTTCCTTTCTCCTTCGGAGCCTGGCTAGTAGCTTCTGCTTGCTACATCAAGTGACATGCCGTTTGAGCCAAGAGTCCGACTTCGCATGCCTTCCAGAGCGAGGGTGTCGAATCGCAACACACCGAACAGCATGGAGGAGCTTTCGTTGGTCGATCAGCTCACACAGGGTAAGGCAGCTAGCATGCTTCGAAGGGTAGGGGCAGCCCTTGTTGCCGACCTAGGCAAGGTTCCTATCTATCCGAGCTCTTCAAAGGTATGTGGTGGTCTGTGCCTCCATAGTATATAGTCATGACGAATGGACATCCAACCCACAGACAACGCGCGTCCATTAACAACGAACGATCTGTGGGATGTGGGGGGCAGCTCCGAGTTGGAGTTGCTTTCTATGGGGATTGATCCTACATTTTGACCCTTCAACCACAGTCCGACAGGCTTCCAATCCCGGGGCCAACTGACAAACATCAATTTGCATAAGTCCAATGAGAACTCATGTTAGATATACCTAATATTTATATATTTACACATATGATCACATATATATATATATATATGTACAGTATATCATCAAACATAAAATTCGAGATCCAGCGTCCGAAAGCCCAAGCCAGCCTGAGAAGGTGCGACCTTGGAGGCACTGGAGCCTCAGGTAAAAACTCTGAGGTAAACCTCGAGATCTTGATCCAATGGTTCTCACTGGGATGCAAAAGCACAACGTAACCCATGTACATCAGCTCTACCCAAACACTCCATGGGGACTGCCATATATGCCTACATTGACCCCCCAAAACCATCCCAACTGATTGGCATCTGCAGTTCCATGGGTCGTGTCTGGGCTATAACATGTTTCCAACAAACAATATGTCCGTGGGAATCTCCCTCCCAGCTCTCACAGAGCTCTCGCCGTGGCAGGACATCCTCTGTCGAGCTCGCTCGTCGATTCGCCAGACCCGACGGGCTCGTCCCTGCAGAACGCGACAAACGCGTGGCGACCAAGGGTGACCAAATGGGAAAGCGCTTTTAGTCGGGTTCCAGGTCACCTGCATCATGTTGCAAATGGGAACGCGACATTGTGGCGCTATGGATGCGCCAAAAATGCTCAAACATGTGACCCCAGCTCCGAGAAACCGCGCTGTGTATTTAAAAAGGACTGCCAAACATGTCCAAAGGAAAACCTGTCCGCAAATCACTGCTTCGAGGACTTCGTCGTCCAACTACGGTGCCTTCGATTTCTACCAACGTTGCAGCATGCCAATCTTTGTCTATGTAGAAAGGAAAACAAAAGAAACAAGGTCCAAAAGGTCTCAATGCATGTTTGATCATGTTTGTATTGGTTTAATGTTGCACAAACTCATCATCCATTCATCCATGTCTGCTCGTCCTTGGGAAGGGAGTGCCAAACTCCCATTGAGGGAACCCTCAAACCGCTGCAACACAAGTCCAAGTATGCTATTTCTTCTATTTTTAGGAAAATAGTGTAATATAATATAGAATTCAAATATAAATATATATATATATCTAAATCACTCTATAAATCAACATATACCGCCCTCAACTTATGTAACCTGTAGATCCAGCACATCCCCAACGGACCGACCAACGCTGTGCCGTCCAAGTCGCCGGAGTCGCCGCTCACTCCCAGCGCCAAGCGGGGCACAGTCAAGAACCTCGGTGCGGGACTTCTGGGCGGAAGGCGCGGTTTTTGGGTTGGAACGTGGAACACACAGGCAGAAACAAAGAAAACAAGAATCAAACCGAACCATGACATACTATTTTAGTGAACCAAACCGCCTGAGACCATGTGACTAGCTATCTATGGAGGATTAAGTGACGTGTAAAGTTGGGATTCACTTGTTACAGTTCGCGAAAAGGAGGCAAATATCAAATGGCAACAACCTATCAAAGTCTCTTTCCGTCAAAGACTTGCCGTTGGTTTTTGAGACTGTCCATCATACAATACACCGAATTCCAACAACCACCAAAAGAGCTTCGGTGGATCGCGGTAAACAGAAACAATGGGACGAACTGCGGTCCGGCACCGCCGGCACCAGCCTTGACGAGCCGAGCATTCCGCGTAAAGAACACATTGTGGTAGCGAGGTCCAAACTCCGCAGGTTAGCAAAGATGCATCCCGAGTTACATCTCAGAATACACTGTAAAGCATCTGAGATGTGGAAACAAGGTGTATAACAGGGTTGCCATGCGTGCATATACTATATATGTAAATCGATGTTTGTGTGCATAGAGCAAATAATCTAGTTGGATCCCTATAGCATCACCCAGTCCTATCAGTCTCCAAAGTGCTAAGCTGCGTGCCACTTGTTGTTCAACAGCTCTTTGGCTGACGGACGGCGGATCACGTTGGGCCTTGGCGGTTTTTCTTCCCAAGGCAGGGCCTGGCAGGGCTACACTTCCTGGGGAGATCAGGGTGGTCTAATGGGTGGCCCTTATTCCAGAATGTATATTCTACACCATATATTCTACTATATATAGTGGGTTTCATAAACTTGACATCTTCGGAGGGGTCCAAAAATCTGGGTTGACACTATGAAACTCACTATATAGCCTGAAAGTCCAATTTCAAAAATTGTCTTTAGGTCACCCGAACAGGAAGATCCTGCAAACTTCAGTGGTGCAAAGCAATAGTATTTTCCCAGCATTTAGGCTTCGACGCGGCACCAAAGACAATGACCTAATAGCAATGGCCTCCAACCTAATAGCAATGGCCTCCTAACTAGTAGCAATGGCCTCCACCCTAACAGCAATGGCCTCCAACCTAATAGCCATGGCCTAAGTGGCTTCAACGAGATGGCTGACATGCTGCGACAAACACAAAGAGTTCCTTCTTGTCCAGGAAAGGTCCCCAACCTGGCGAGCATTTTTTTGGGATGAGTCGCTCGAGCCTAAGCCCTCTACTGGTCGGAGGTTGACATTCATCTTCGATGAGCGCCAAGGACTCCGCTGTGCTTCCGAGCCATTTTGCAAATTTTTGCCATGCGCATGTCCGATGGCGTCACAATGAAAGCTGATTCCTTCCAAGCACGGCTGGAGGTTCATTTGGGCTATCTGGCTCTCCAATTTGCGGAGGCAACGCAACTTCCGTGAAACTCCTTGGGTGGATTCCAATGCAAAAAAAATGCCACGGCTGCAGCAAGTAGAACTGAGAGCAGGAAAACGCATTCGGACAAATGGGGAACGACGATCTCCAAGCTGTCCTTAAAAATACCCACAAGAAACATAATGTACCGTTCGAATTGCACAAAACCCGCAAATGCTGCGACAGTGCACAGGAGGATGCCAAAGGTGACCAAAGTGTCGCAGAATGGTCCTTCACGTTTCTTCCGAAAAGCACATGACAATCTCATACTAAAGACCAAGAGAGTTGGCACAACCCCCAACCACCACCCAGCACCGCGAAGGATGGCCACATCCAGGGCAGATCGCCAGGTTCTGCCCGGCCATTGATCAAGGTAGTGCAGCATGGCCCCTGCCATGTCTAGATGCGACCACAGCAAGGGAATGGTGGCAGTAATGCAATGCCGGTATGTGAAGAACTGCGATGAAAGCTCTTCCAAAAGGCATTTCAGGACCTCTCTTCGCACCATCTGCTCAAAGACTTCTAATGTGCCAAACCAGGTACGGATACATTGCAGTAAAACCATCCGATCACATATCTGGATCGGATTCCCAGAACGATCCACATGGTTTCTCTGGCAACAAAAGCACTCGGTCTCTTCCAAAGAGAAATGGGATAACCTGGCCCAAGCGATCCGCAAAGAAAACCCGAACACCTTAATGGTCTCATCTTATGTCTTATATACCTACCCTTCAGGGTGATGGCTTTATAATGTTGGATCACGATTAGTAAACCGGTCCGCAATAATGCTAAATTTTCCAAAATCATTCAGGACCCCCTGTTTGAAAAAGTAGTCCTGAATAATGCAATTTTTTGAGGGGACCCTAAATTCTTTATATTGGAACACCACATTAAAAAGGGTTTGAACTCCTTCTGAGGCCAATGATTATGATTCATTAGCTGATATGGTTTTCTCTAGGTTTCTTCAAAACTGACAGCTGACCAAAACCACCAATTCCTAATTAAACCCTTTATAAAACATTGCTCCTA